GAAGTATTTTAACTATGGCATTATCTCCAGTATACTTCTGGGATACAAGGTAACTAAAACCTATACGCTCTCCATGCCTGAAAGGAACTACAAAAGGATAGACATAGGATAAATTGTGGATACAATGTTGCATAAGCCATTCACTATAATAATTGTAAACTTTCAAGTAAAGTCAAGATTTGATGTTATAAACATAATAATAATCAGTTCAACCTATCCAAGCAATGTTTTTAACGCATGATTTGGACTTTGTTCTTTAAGTAAACTAGTTATCGCAGGTCAAGATAAAGTTTTTAAAATGTTAGCAGCAGATTACAGAAGCAGGAATCGTAGTCATAATAAGGACAAAAAACATTCAGCTTACGAAATGTTTGTTTCTGACTTTGACATTGAAGTAACAAACTTAAACTTTGTGCTTTATAAAGATCCACACCAATCAAACGTCAAAGGTGATATAAGATATGTAAGACCTAAATTATATGGGACCAACTAGCTGTGCAAACTTCAACATCCATAATGTTTGGTTATGCCATCTTCATCGAATGTTTAGTTGCCTCTGTTGGCCCTGTCAATTAGTTTGTTTCCATAATTATAGGAACTCAATTACATAAGAGGAGCTACATGTGAAAAACTAATAGGCCACCAAACATTAAAAACTCTAAATACACTTAGAGCAGACATTTCATCATCAAACCAGAGTTGATCACAAAATATGGTTAAAAAACACAAACTTTTTTAATGACAAGAATAAGATTATCCTAGCACAAGGGAAACAAAGCGCAGTACCAAATAAGTCACTGAATTCTGTTTATTTACACTATTTTCCCAGATTACTCGAGAGAGGGGAACAACTGCATATGAAGTAAACAATCTAAGAAAGATACATTACACCTTAACAATGACATCCATATGTAGTATCTCCTAAAAACAGGTCAAAAAACGATGAATAGATTGCCATCTATTGCTTTACAACATGTACGGTTAGAAGTCTTCTTTGATCTTAAAAACTGAATAACCAGGCATGTGGCATGTCAAACTTTAATTATTTTAAGAGGAAGAATAGAATTTAATAAAAAGTGCAGTAGGTGAGATATTGAAGGATACGAAAGAGAGTCATCATATAAAATAAGGTACAAAGTGCAACAATCATCAAAACTATAAGGACATCTTGAGGTGTGAGCTGAGCATAGAATTATTGAGCCAGCATGCAACTTGGATGGATCCAGGGAAGTACAAAATGCAAAGGACTAAATAAATCCTGTAAAAGTGAATGAGCATCAATATTACATTGACTCTTCATAGCACCTAAGTGGTTGTGTTAAATTATATTACAAGTATATGGAAACTAAGGTAACTTCAAGTAGGATAACACGTGAGTTTCAACAAATGGTAAAGCCCAACATCTTGACATATATTTAAGCAAGTAAATTAAACAAGGTGAGCAACTGAGCATATTTTAGGAATATGTATGCAACAACACACAACACTAAAATTGACATGAACCTACAAAGGATCAACAGGAGAGAAAGACAGTTATAAAACTTAGTTACCTGTTCCATCATTTCCAATATCAACCCCATCAAAGCTCAGGATAACATCTGATGACTCCAAAACCCCGGATTCAGGAGCATTAGCTTCAACTCGTGTAACAAGTATACCCTTTTGATCAGGTTTCATGCCCATTGATATGCGTAAGTCAGGATTCTCCATCTTTTGCCACTCAAACCCAAGAATTGGAAACCCTGAGAAGAATATAGATAAGACATAATCAGACATGAGAATAAACCAAAATGAAGTTACTTCAACAATTGTCGGGTGTGTTTGGAAAATCAGAGCAACAAAATTGAAAGGCCAAACTTGTCAGCTGAACCATACCTGTATATGTTTTATTCCTCTCATAATCTTGAATAAAGTGATCAATGACAGGTGTAGGAATAACATAACCAATATTCTCGGCGTCTTCCTGTTTCATTGACTGAAATGCAATGCCTACACAATTGCCTTTGTCACAGAAGGCTGGACCACCAGAATTTCCAGAGTTTATGGCAGCATCCACCTGAAACAGCATCATTGCAAAAGAGATAAGTAAAATGAGATCAAGGACAAAGTTAACCCCCATGAAAACAAGAATTCTGTATGAATAACCTGCAAGCCTAGTAGCTCAGATCCCCCATGAGCGTAAGAGAGGATCTCCCTGCGTGAGACAACTCCTCTGGTCACAGATATAGTATCTCCTCCTATAGGGTAGCCCATAACAGTCACGGCGTCTTGAAGAGCAGGCAATTCACCAAACTCCACTGGTGAAACACCTTCCCAGAATTCATCATCTTTGACCGTAAGCAAAGCTGCAACACCACATGCAAACCAAACCCATTATACACAATCGATATTTAAAAAAAAAAAATCTGAAGGAATTGAACTTATTGCAGTCAGCTACAACAGTTAACACTACTCAATAGCAGCAAGAAATTTAAGCCATTCGCAAATCAATCTCACTAAAAATTTAGAGCTGGAAATGGATACAAAAGAATCCACCTAAATTATTATAGTTTATCTTAGCACTAGTCATGAGTACTCCTTTAGCCCACAAAGATTCAGATTAACACTCTTAACAAAGCCATTAAAAAACGTGAAAAAAAAAATATGTAAAAAAAAAAAAACCAATAAAGATCTTCAAGGCAGTTTTAGATATCCAATTGATTGAAAGATAAACTATGATACCAATATCACACTCAGTCCCAACAGCAAGTACGGTGGCGAAGTACTTAGTATCAGAACCCCGCTTCTTGAGCTTAACTTGAGTGTAGTGTGCCATTGAATGAGCATTTGTCAAAACCCTCCTCCCTGCAATGACAAATCCACTACTTAAGGAACTACACTGCCTCTTCCTCTGTCACGGAAGAGAATAATTTGGCTTTGAACTAACACAAAAGACCTTCACCACAGCGTCCATCAATGGCACAACACGCGATGAAACTACCTTTGGATTGTGACCACCATTGCAATTCATCTCCATAGAGAATGGGGTCTTGTCCAAACTGTTGTCGTATAGGCCCGGCATTAGACAACACGAAAATCAACGTTACGAATACAGTTCGTATAGAAGTCTAAGGCGTCTAGGATTTCTAAGAGGTTGCTTTGGTTTGTGATGGTAGCCACCCAATTCTGAGTAATAATATACTAAAAATTTTGCTGAGTGGGTGGGTGAAATTGGATGAATATAATAAGTCTTAGTCTTTTCATATTCATAAAAATGTATGAACAATTGAACACCACATAAAATTCCAAAAAATATGAACAAATTCACACTTTCATGACACTTCCAGAACACGACTATTTCCTGTTCTTCACCTTGACTTGAATTTTAATGGAGTATTAAATGACTTGTTAAGAAGAACCCAGACCCCAAATTATAATTAAAACCACATAATCAAACAAATTAGGGTTTTAAAAAAGAAATAATACCGAAAGTGGAAAAAAAATCAAGCATTTTGGAATGAAATTGCAGTATGACAACATACAAATGACAGTTGCAGCAGAATTATATCAAAAATTAGGAAGAAATACTGTACCAAGTTTCTGGACATGAGATAAGAGTAGGAAAGCATCATCTTTGTTGATGTTGAACAACAATGGCGTCACCTCCAATTTAAGCAGACTTCATGATAGCCAGCTAAAAGGGAACAGGAACTTCCCCTGAAAAATTTCCCGGGACATTTAAAAATTAACCCCAATTGACCCAATGTGGAGGGGTGGATAGGGTTGGACGATAAATTTCAAGAACCAAAACCGTTTCCGAACCCAAATCCGAATCCGAAAACAAAAAATTTCACGAATTGATTCAGGTAACCAAACCGAAATAATAAGGTTAGACCGCTATAATTATCCTATTCGTATATTTAAAAGAATTATGGAATAGAAACGACTGTGCAATTAATTGACTTGATCGAATGTGAGTATGTGACTATATGAGTATTACATATTTCCTTTTCGTATATTTAAAAGAACCACGGAATAGAAGCTACCGTGCAACTAATTGGCCGGATCGAATGTGAGTATGTGACTATATAAGTATTACATATTTACATGTACAGAGTACAGACTTTATTTTAAGCTAAGAAATATTGTTTATCCTTCCCAAATTGCAATTTTTCCCTTTCAGTATTTTCCAATATCTAAATATCTCATTTAACATCTTTCATTTTACCCAATAATCATACTACTCACTTTTCTTATGCTACATCATTTGTTTGATGCTAAGCAAGCAAGCACGGACTAATAGTGCAACTCAAAAGTAAAATTACCCAAAATAAATTCCTAACAGGGGTAACCAAACCTAACTTTGCACAACCTTAATTGTGGATGCAGCATGTGTCCCCGGGGTGCTTAGGTTCTAGATTTTTTTTTAGATCAATATTTGTAATTTTCGAATATCCTAAATTTTTCGATTGTCAATTAGTAAAATTTAATAAGAGTAAAGCGTATAACACTCTATTAAAAAACCTTTTGATTTCCCAAATTGAATCAAATACCCGACTTGGCTATCTCTATTCACCCCACCTTATTAACACTTTTTCAGGTATATAAATAAGACTAATTTAACATTAAAAAATTCTAATTGGCTTTGTTCTTATTTATTTGTTGCATTTGAGTTTTGCACGATTTTGTGCATTTTAATCCGTAACGACATATAACTTGAAAGTTAATACACATAGAGATGAACCTAAAAAGATCAAAGACCCCATGTGAATATTCACAACTGCCACCCCCCCCCCCCCTAAAAAAAAATAAATAAATAAAATTGAAATGCACTGATACTTGATCTTACAACCTTTTAATTGGAAAGAAGAAAATTATACCAATATTAGGGATAGAACGCATACAAACTACGAAGAAGGAAATAAGACATGTACGAGTATTTGTATATATTGTAAACTCGGAGTAAATTTTTTATATCATAAGAACAATACAAAAAGACTAATGCATGTACTGTGAGTCTGTAATTGAAAATGTCAAATCCAATAATTCTGGTAAATTACAACTTCTATACAAAACATTTATAAAATACCAATTCAATTACTAAATGTTAATTTGGCTGCACATAAATTAGTAGTAACAATGGACCTAGCATTTGCGGTGAACTGATGTTTCATATGCTGAGTGAAAGGCATATAAGAGGGTGTAAAACTGTAAACTAGTTCGTGAACAGGTTATATAAGACAAACAGGTAAACACCTAGATGAGGTTCAAACTTCAGTCTAGGTTTTAAGATCATCAGACATTGCAGAAGGTACGCAGTGTGTCGCCAGAATATCTACAGTAGCAGCTTTAGCAGTCTCTGTCCGAAGAATGACTACCTGCCATAAGAAACACAATGATCAATTGTAAACTGCATTCAGTTGTAAAGCCTCTCATCATGTGTTCATGCAAATATCTATATTTAACTTGTGTGATTCTGGAGAGAGCTTCAAAGAGGAGCGAAAAAGAGACCTTATTGAACTCCAGATCGAACTTCAAAAATTCATCATTGCAGGAGTCCACCATACTCGCCAAGCTTTTTAAGTTCTTCACAGGTTTACCGTTGACAGCAAGAACCTGACAGGAAAGCAGCAAAATGAATAAGGTTGCATACATCACCCACCTTTCAGAACAGAATGAGACCAGCACAGGCTCACAGGTGAAGAAAGTAGTGGGTAAAGGAGGAACTTCAAAATGAACAATTACTGAATTATGTACTCACCACCCCAGAAACACGAGATACTTTTTAGTACCATGTTACAATGGAAAATTAATACATACCTGAACATTAGCAAGATCTTCATATCCGATGTTAATGTCAGCCACAAGAACCTATAAATAAGGGGGGAAATTAGGAAAAAAATATGCAATCCGCAACTAGAGGCAGTTTGTATGAGCCAAATGTTGCAATTTATGTACTTCGTAAGTTCATATATCCAATAATTAAAAAAAATAAAAAAGAGAAAATCAACAGGCCCATTGATGTGAAATGACAATATGGAAATTACTGTGAATCACTGCTTCCTCAATTCTGCATCTCTCTAACTTCTCACTTGCAAATTCTATGATTTCAACTTACAAGCAAATGGACCATATACAGTATGTTGCATGTGATACATTAACTAATAATATATAAAGAAATTCAATTGAGTAGAAAACAATTCATTACATGTTTGGAAATTGACATGCCTCTCCTCTATAAGCTAAATTATAAAACCAATGCTACTTAGAAGCTGATATGGGTCAAACAAAATAATCTAGGACTTTAGATGGCATCAATTGTTGGACAGCATATGCAGGGGCTGCTTGTGAGCATATCTCAACAACCCTGCCGGCCTCAGTCAGCACATTTGAAATAAACTAGCCTAGGGAAAAGAGCATTATTGTTATTGTAACATATTAGTAGCTTGGGGATTAAGTTGAGAAACGAGAAATAATTAGAGTAGATAGGGAAGAAAGGAAGCAGTTAAGGAGATTAGTGACAGTGAAAGGAATTAGAAAGTTGTTTAGTTAATTTTCTTTGCTTAGCTTGTTGTTGGGAGTGTCCAGCATTGCGAATTGTTTGCCCAATGCCCCAATCTGATGCTTAATTGCATCTCAAAGAAAATCAATCATCCAATTTCCTCAAATTCTCATCGTCCTCAATACTCTATTTCTAGTTGGTATACTGTCATACTCCTTCGGTCCCAAATTAGTTGCTGTATTTTCCTTATTGGGGTGTCCCAATTTAATTACAATAAACCATCTTTGACCAAGTTTTTTTTTTACTTTTTCTCTAAAATTGGACCCTACATTTTTCTCTCTACTTTTTTATTAACCAGCATAAATGTGCCAAAACCAAAAGTTCCACCAATTTTGGGATGAAGGAAGAATATGAAATCTGAAAAATGATAGTACACAGATTTGCAACAGCAATGATATCCATTCCCTAGGCTAGTCTGTTACCTAATATCGTGTAAATCAAGCTGGAATGAGCTTCTTGTGAGTATCAAGTCTGATGCTGAATTCATGCATCACCGAATCACGAAGTACCTTAATTTTAGCATTATCTCCAGTATACTTCTGGGAAAAAAGGTAACTAAAACCTATACACTCACCACACCTGAAAGGAACTACAGTGAGATAAACAGAATTAATTCTGGATGCAATGTTGCACAAACCACTCACTTTTATAGAGGAAGATTTTAAACTAAGATGTTAACAACATAAAAGTTGACTCAAACTATTTTGTCAATGTTTTCAATGCAAGATTTAGAATTTTTTTTTATAAGCAAAATATTTTTCGCAGATTACACCAAGTTAATATTAACAATATCAAAATGTCAGCAGCAGATTAAACCAGGCATTGTAGTCATAGTAAGGGCCAAAAACATTCAGGGAAGGATAAATTTGTTTCTGACTTTAAAATTGTGCACACAATATTGCAAATTTGCACCTTAAAATGATCCACACTGATCAAACATCACAGATATAAGATATAATATACTTAAGACCTAGTTATTATAAGGGGCAACTAGCTGTGCAAACTTCAACTTTCATGAGAAACAAAAAATACATTATGTTTGGTTATGTCACTATGCGTTATCCCCAACATGCTACATTTAGTTGCCACTGTAACTTATTGTGTTCCAATGTATATAGAAAGTCTCTTACTTAAGGGTGTTACATGAGTGAAACTTAAAGACCACCAAACAGTAAAAACACTTTGAACAGTATGTCATCATCTGACAGGAACTGATCAGGAAAAAAAAAAGAAGGTGCACCACAAATATTTCCAAGATAAAAAATATCCTAGCACAAGGGAAACGAGGCACGGTACTATACAAGGTCACTGGATTCTGTTTGTTTTACTTTCTGTTTTCCCAGATTACTCGAGGGGGAGGAACAATTGCAGCTGAATTTAAAACTCTAAGAAAGATACTTAACACATTAGTAATGGTCTCCACATATTGTATCTCCTTTGAAACTGGCCTAAACAACAGCAGCTAATGCATTGCATTTTGTTGCATAACGATTTGTATAGTTGAAATCTCCTTTGATCTAAACCAAAGAATAAGCAGGCATGTCCAATGTAAATACTTTATTACTTTTAGAGGTAAGATATTCTAATAAACGCTGAATTGAACCTCAAAAGGAAGTAAATGAAGAAACCAATATGATATCATATAAAATAGGTGCAACAGTCATCAAGCAATATCACATTGAGGTGTGAGTATATTAGTATGGAACCAGCATGCAACATAGATAAATCCAGGTTAGCACAGAAAAGCAAGGACTGGATAGATGCTGTAAGAATGAATAAGCATCAACAATACATTGACACTTCAACTCTTCGTATCACCTAATTACCTAAGTGGCTATGTTAGATTATGGAACTCAGGCAACTTCAAAAAAGGCTACAATAGGTATGTTTCAGAAAATGGGCAAAAGCAATATCTAGACAAATACTTGAAGCAAGCACATTGAACAAGGTGACCAACCAAGCATATACAGAACATGTATGCAACAGTACAAAGAGCCTAATGTTGACATGAACCTAGAAAGGGTCAAGGGCAGAGCATAATGACATTGAATATTAATTACCTGTTCCATCATTTCCAATATTGACCCCATCAAAACTAAGGATAACATCTGATGACTTCAAAACCTCAGATTCAGGAGCAGTAGCTTCGACTCGTGTAACAAGTATACCCTTTTGATCAGATTTCATCCCCATTGCTATACGTAAGTCAGGATTCTCCATCTTTTGCCACTCAAACCCAAGAATTGGGAACCCTGAAAAGAAAACATATATATCTTGCATTAGATAAGACATATAGTTACTTCAACATTTGTCAGGTATGTTTGAAAAGATCAGCGCAAGAAAATAAAATAAAATGAATATAAAAAATAGGCCATATTTGTCAGTTGAACCCTACCAGTATATGCTCCATTCCTTTCATAATCTTGAATAAAGTGATTGATGACAGGTGTAGGGATAACATAACCAATATTTACAGCATCTTCCTGTGTCATTGACTGAAATGCAATTCCTACACAATTGCCTTTGTCATTGAAGGCTGGACCACCAGAATTTCCAGAGTTAATGGCAGCATCCACCTGCACCAATATCATTGAAATAGAACTTTAATAAAATGAGATGGAGGCCAAAAAACATGAAAAAAAGATCCTGTATACATAAACTGCAAGCCTAGTAGCTCAGACCACCCATGAACGTAAGAAAGGATCTCCCTGCGTGAGACAACTCCACTGGTCACAGATATAGTATCCCCTCCTATTGGGTAACCCACAGTCACAGCATCTTGAAGAGCAGGTAATTCACCAAACTCCACTGGTAAAACACCTTCCCAAAATTCATTATCTTTGACCGTAAGCAAAGCTGCAAAACCACATGCATATGATATTTCATATAGAAATTTCTGAAACTCAAACCCATTATAAAAAATCGAATTTTTACAGCATATGAAGGATTTGAACTCATTGCAGGCAACAACAGTCATACTACTCAATAGCTACAACAAGTCACTATTCACAAAGCAATCTTTCTAACAGTTTGCAGGTCAGAGCTACCGATGCATACATCCGAGCTGTCAAAGCCATATCCGTAAGGATACATCTAAACTATTATAGTCAACTAGTCATTGCTCCTTTGACCATTGCATACAAAACAATTACCAAACAAAGATTCGGAACAATGCTCCTAACAAAGCTATCAATTAACTTAAAAAAAAGCCAATGAAGCTCATAACTTCAAAGTATTGTCAAAGCAGATCCAAACAATCCAAATTGAATGGAAACCAAACATCATTCGATCAAGGATGAAAATATCATACCAATATCACAATCAATCCCAACAGCTAGTACAGTAGCCAAGTACTTGGTATCAGAACCCCGCTTCTTAAGCTTAACTTGAGTGTAGTGTGCCACTGAATGAGCATTTGTCAAAACCCTCCTCCCTGCAATGACAAATCCACTACTTGAGGAGCTGCACTGCCTCTTCCTCTGCCACGGGAGTGAGTAATTCGGCATTGAATGAACACAAAACACCTTCACCACTGCGTCCATCAATGGCACAACACGCTCTGAAGCTGCCGCCAGTTTGTGGCCACCATTCCCATTCATCTCCATCGATGACGGGGTCATGTCCAGATTGTCTTCAGATAGGCTCGGCATCAGACAATACAGAAATCAATGTCACCAGGGTTGATCACAGTTCCAATAAAGGATCGAAAGGCGTCTAGGATTTCCAAACGATTGCTTTGGTTCTAATGATTGCAACCCATTGCTGAGTAGTTATTTACTGAAATTTGTTAAAGTGGGTCAGTGAAATCGGGACCAACATTATAAGTCTTAGTCTTAGCATATATTAATAAAAAGTATGAACATATCATATAATTCCAAATTTTATGAACAATTTCATATCAATTACTCGGTTTCAACCAACAACCCCACTTCCCTTTTACTTCATCTTGACTTCAATCTAGTAAAGTATTAATTTTTAAACGATTTGAGAAAGAACCTCTCAATTTCCCACAATCAGACAAATTAGGGTTTCACACACGAAACAACGCAGAAAGTGGAGAATTTTAATCACATTTTGTAATTAAATTGCAGTATAGCTACATAGGAAACAACAATTAAAGCAGAAATATGTTAAAATTTAGGAAAAATCACCATGTTTTTGGACATGGGATAAGAGCTAAGAAGCTTCATTATTGCTGAGGTTGAACAACAATGGCGACACCTCCAATTCAAGCAGACTCCATGAATAATTGAATAGCCAGCAGCCCAGCAAAGAGGGAAAGTCATGGAAAAAACTACCTAAGCCATTGTGTCAAGGTGTTTATGTTTAGTAGCCCACTAGCTTAGTTAGTTAGGTTAGTTGGTTAGATTATTGCATTATTCGTGGTATTTCAAGGGGTCGTTTGGTTCATTAGGCTGGAATGGATTGATATGGAATTCTCATATTTAAGTGGTATGGATTATATATCCCATACCAATCTAAAGTTGTCTGGTTTAACTATAGAATGGATTCTCATACTTGAGTGGTAGTATGGATTATGAATGGAAGTGAGTATGAGATTCCAATGGAATGAGGTGGAGTTAGAATCCCCCAGGTATGAAATTACACACTTAAATAGCCCAACCAAACTAATAAAATCATGCATTCCAAGAAGTTCAACCAAACAGCCCCTTAGTCCCACCACCAGGGGTAAAAATGCGGATGAATGTAAGAAAATACGGATAAAAAGTTCTACTGATAAATAATATAGGAATAAGATAGTAAATGAATTTTTCAAAAAATAAATAAAGTAAAAGACAAGTTGAATTTCAAGAACAGAGAGAGTTACTTGTACAATAATAGTAAACTGGTTAAATATGACTTTAAAAAGAAACAATACGATTAAAAATATTTGCTGCAAAAAAATTCTCAAATTACAATACACAAAGAACCCTTATGCCCTACATCACCAATTCAGCACCACCACCCATATCAAATGCAAGGCCTGCAACCACCACTACATCATATCATAGTCGGCACAACTATGCGACCACCAACTAGCACTTCTCACACTTCTTACTTTCATTCCCTATCCTCCATATTACCCACAAAATGCCGCCCACCCAATTAAAATACATTTCCATGATTCATAGCCACCATTACCTTTACCCTCTTGCTAGCCGCCGCCATTAGCGATTCTAAAGGATTACTTGTGTAGAATTTAAAGGTAAAATTCGTTAGTAATTTCAAAGAGGCACTTATATAATGCGTTACACAAGAAAGGAGCAGGTATATACTATTTCAAAATTATAAGTTTATAACATTAATTCACCTTACTCGGCTAACCAAAAGCTTAGAATGCCCCATCGAAATTTTTCAAAAATTGAAGGCTCGAATGTTTCTATTTAGTGTAACATGCGCTTGTGAATAACAACTTCATAACTTTTGTTATGTTGCAAATGACTTCAAATTTAGTTTTCAAATAGCACCTTGTTATTAGCATCTAAATTTTTCGCATAAAATTCTTTTTGACACTAGGATCTCCTTCCTATCACAAGAGAGGAAGATGAGGAATAAAACCCATGTCACACAAGGGGGAGATGGAGGGACTAACCATCCCTCCACTCCCAACTCCTCAAAAAAGAAAACAAAAATCATATATAGAAAATATAGCTAGTTATATACAATTTGTATTATTTTTTTATGGGAATATTTTCGAGACAACATAAACTTTGTAGGTATATGATGAATTAAATAGAATTGTTTGAACACTAGATTTACCTCAAATTTGGCAACTATATTTAGTAAATTATGGTCACAACAATTGCTTTGGATTAAAATAAAGAATATTTCATGATGACTTTGGCTAAAAAATTTGCTTTTCATATTTTCCTTTGTTTTTCTAACATGAACTCGACCCCCCCTAGAACTTAGGCAATTGCTTAATCCTTACTTATTCTACCAGCCCCATTTATAAAATTACAAATGATTGAAGTTATGTTCCTTTAATTATTAGGACACAACTTTGAGCCAAGGTTGCCAATTACAAAAGTGTCAAAGTGATGAGCATGCCTTTCGATTAGTGTCCCTTTTGTACCTAATATCAACACATCATTAATCACCCTTTCCTAGTTATATTGCTTAAGGACACCCCTACGTGTGTGTCCTTGTTCTTTCCATTATTGTGTTAAACACATGCGTTTTTTCTTTTGTTATTGTGGTATGTTGGAGCTTCATATTAGGGTACGTTACCATCAATGTGTACAAAGTGTTGGCCCCTTATTTGTCAAACTAGTTGTTTATTATTAGAGTAGACGTGTAATTAGTTAGCACAATCAAAGTAATTATGTACATTTAAAAAGTCGATAGATAAAAAAGCATACTTCTAGTAACTTTAATTTAACAAACTCAAAGCAAAAACTAAATTTGGAGGCTTTTTCCTCCAATAGTTGAAATTTATATTTTAAAACTACTTTACGGCTTTATTCCATTAAGAATGAAATCAACGATGTATTAGATAAATAGATAGGTTGTTAAAAAAAAAAATTAAAAAAATACTACTTCATCAATTGATTGTATCGAACATCTACATTAAAACTTTGCAAAGTATTTCAACAATTAATATGTGATCGATTACCGACAAGCATCAATGTCTATCATAACAATTAAGAGTTTCTACGAGCCTAAAATTGATTTTGCCTAATTAGCCATAAGTACAAGTAAACATAATAAATAGAATTAATCGATGAAGTAATCAACTACTACCAATTCAATATACTGTATACAATTCTAAGTTCCTTTTAATGTTAAGCATTAGAACTTTAGAAACCTTGGCAATAAAGCTCCCCACCTAACTATATAAATAAATGTCCACTTTACAACTAAGTTGTACACTCATATTTTGTCTAAAAAGTATTAGGATATATATATATATATATATATATTTTTCCTAAGAATTAAAATATAAATTTAAAGCTTCCATTTATGAAAATTTTAGCAATCTTATAGCAACCCTAGCTACTATGTTGGATATACTAATATGTTAAGAGTTTTTGAGTATAAATTTGTCACATGTCATTATCTTTTAATTATTGGTCTATTCTCCATATTAGAAAATACGTCTCACAAAACACTATTTTTTTTTTAAAAAATGAGACAGTGTATTGATAAAATTGAACTTAAAATCTTCTGAATTGGAATATATAATTCTTACTTAACACATGCGAATTAGAAAAAATTGTATGTAAAATATCTTTATTAAGCCAGGACATTGTCCGTGCATTAAAACTATTGTACAATGTCTAAATAGAGTACAAAAGTGTCCAATTAACAAATCATCTCAATAAGTCATTAATACTAAATGATTCTTGACAAAATTTTCTAGTCTAAATCCTATGTATTAATGTATAGTATTGAATAATGTAATCACAAATTCACAATTTTATACTAATATCACCTACCATACTCAGTTCAATTTAAAGCCGCCATCATATACAAGGCGCCATATATACACCGTATAAAGACATGAAATAAAATCTCGCCTACAAAGCTACATCTCTTAGCTTGGGAAAGAAAACAAAGTTTACAATTTGGGGCATCACGGATCAACCGTCCTCCTTCCTTGGCGGTTGCAAACACAAACACCGTTAGTCACAGCAGCCCATCCCATATCAATAAATACACTCCTCTTTATTTCTTTCTCTCTCAACAAAATAATAAGCTGAAATAAGTATATAAAAAAGGCAGCTTTCTAGTTCACACTTCAATATATACAGCCAAACAACTAAAGTTTTAATTTTTTAGATGCAAATTAAAGAAAGAAATCATCTTTATTTTAATTTAGAAATGTTGGGTTTGTGTTTTTTGGTTTTCTGGGTGAGCAGGTGAGCCAATCTTTATTATCAACACTCCCAAAAAAAATAAAAAATAAATCCCCAAAAAATGCTTGTTAAACAGCTAGCAAAACACAACAATTAAAATGAGTGTGAGTGTTTTTGTTGTGATGAATTGAGTGAGATTCTTGTGACTTTGCCTCTCATTCATTCAATTATATACCCAATATATAGTTTTACAATACCCATTTCATAAAATATCAAAATCTTTGCTCAAAAATTAGTAATTTTTTTGTTGAATTGTAAGATTGTGTATCTATTTTCTGCAAAATATTTCTGAGTGTTCAAATTTGAGTGCTGAAAATGGCTGCAAGTGCTTCAAGATTCATAAAATGTGTGACAGTTGGAGATGGAGCTGTTGGAAAAACTTGTATGTTAATTTGTTACACTAGTAACAAATTTCCTACTGTAAGTTGTCAATTTTCTTATCTGGGTTCTTCAATTTATGAGTTTTTTTTTGGATTTTTTTTTGACTGCTTTTTATTGATTTCATATTAATTCAATATGCCTTTTTCTGGGTATAGCAGCTTTTTAAGTTTGCCTTTACCTTGGTTTCTTAACCTAAAAGTTACCTGAGTGTACCTAACTTTCCGAATGAGCAAATAAGCCGAAAATTAGCCTTAGGTGTATCGTGTACATACCTATGTGGCTATGCCGGGTGTATAGTGGACTACGTTTCAGTCTTTCTTTTAAGAGGTCTCACATATTGGCTTCATTGTTTAATTGGCTTCATTGTTTAATTGTCAGTGAATATATTGTTTAATTAGGGATTTATGAGTTTATTTTTGTGTAACCAGGATTACATCCCAACAGTATTTGACAATTTCAGTGCTAATGTGGTTGTGGAAAGTACCACTGTGAACTTAGGCCTCTGGGATACTGCTGGTGAGTCCGTTTAGTCCATTTATCGGTGATCACTATCTTTCGTGTTAAAATACTGGTTGCAATTGCTACAAATATCTTCAGATTACTTTAACTAGAAATGTAATCTGTAATCATATCATGATCAACTTGGTTATACATACCATTTTAAGAACCCCGAGTTTAATGTTTCGTTGTTGAATTGTTTTATAGGACAAGAGGATTACAACAGATTAAGACCTTTGAGCTACAGAGGGGCTGATGTCTTTGTCTTGGCTTTCTCATTGGTCAGCCGTGCGAGCTACGAGAATGTGCAAAAGAAGGTACATTCTCACCAAGTTACTGTAGATTGAAGGCATTATAGATTTATAGTTATGTTAGTACAGTGGATATTTAGTTATTGTGCTGTATTTATTTTCATTGGTTATGTAGATATTAACACACAATTTCTTGATCAGTGGGTCCCGGAACTTCAGCATTATGCTCCTGGAGTACCGTTGGTGTTGGTTGGCACCAAATTGGGTAAGACAACTACTTTTATATATATAATAGTTAATTTCTGATCCATTCTGTTGTATGGTGCCATAAACCTTTGCTTTATAGCTTGATAGAATCGACAGAGTAATGAACCTTCATTTGACTCATCGTTATATTTGTGGTTCGTAGATTGGAACTTTGGTTGTTGTTAGAATACTCTGTAGGGTATCTGCTGGTGTAGCTGTGAGCTAGTGATAGTGGTAGATATCCTTAATACATGCAGTGTTCTTAAATTCTAATGCTCATATCTGAAAAGTCTCTTTACATGTTGAAATATGTTACCACGGTTCATTACTTGGTGTACTTTTAAGTTAATCTATGTTTTTGGAACTAAAATTTTTTCACTAGTAATTGCTGGCTCTTTTATGCGTATGTTTGTGTGAGCTCGCACATAGTTAGTGTAATTGTTCTTCTTTGCAAAGGGTTTACTCTTTGCCTCTGCAAGTACAACATTTGTTGTTGTTTCTACTTCCTCCGTTCCTTTTTAGTTGCAACATTTTCCTATTTTGGAAATTGTTGATTACTTGCAACACTTTTCATTTTTAACATTTCTTTCGCGCTATCTCTCCTATCCACATGGGTCCCTCTTATTTTTTCTCTCTATCTCTCTCCTCTTTCAAAAATTGCCTAGGAGACCGTAAAAATAAAAGTGTTGCAACTAAAAAAAACAGAGGAATTTTTTTTTTTTTTTTTTTTTTTTTTTTTTTGCCTGCTGATCAGCTTTGCTTTCCCCTCCCTTGGGTGTCAGAGCTCTTATTTTTACCTGCTGATCGACTTTGCTTTTTCCCTCTTTTGGGCGTCAGAACTCTTTGATCACACCCAGATTTTCTAGTGTAACCGTGGTATAGCTTACTTGGTGCAACCATTTAGATATTAATCAATAAGATTAATTAGTTTTATGTAGAGTCAATTCCAAAAGTCCCCTATATGTTCAGGGTTGTGAGCGGGTTGCACTTCTTTCTTAGTGTAACTGCTGTATTGGAAGACTTTTGGACCACATACAAGAGGAAGTGATTTAAGCATGAATAGAGTTGTGTCCTGTCAGTCCACTCCATCTTCCTTGCACAAAAATATTCCAATAAATGTCAGTTGTGTTTAATCTTCTTCTTTTTATTTTCTGGTCTATCTTTCTGACTGAACAATTTCCCAATTGTGCTCCCAGATCTTCGTGGGGACAAGCATTTCTTGGCTGATCATCCTGGAGTACTTCCAGTTAGCACAACAGAGGTGCAATCTCTTGTCATCTATCAGTATTCAACTCTTACATTGAATTTTTTGAATTGTATGAATAAAGATTTGCATATCCTGTTCATCTAGGGTGAGGAACTCCGTAAGCAGATTGGTGCTTTATACTACATCGAGTGCAGCTCCAAGACTCAACAGGTAACAAAGAATACTTTCACTTGTTCTTTGAGTGATTGTTTTCTAGTTTTTAGTAATTACAACACTGCATGAGTACGTGCATGTGCATTTCTTTCTGTTATTCTTCTATTGAAGACAATATGAGCTGTATGTATTTGCATATAGAGAGTTTAGAATAGTGACGTGTCATTAGTTCATTACTCTTAAGTAATCTCGAAACTATATATGTGAAAAAAAAAATCTTGTCAATAGTTGGGAGTTTTGATCGCCATGGACGAAAATTCCATCAATACGTGTACTATATGGCAAGTTGGCAACCACAATGACAAATAATTGACAATAGTGGTAAAAACCGTAGGAAATATCTTTTGGACAAATTATCAATTGGTAATTCATACAAAGTATTTCCCAATCAAAAGTATTCCCACCTACCCTAAAGACGCAACTCACAGACTTGTTACATTATGACTACTACACATCTTAACCATCACTCAACATCTTTTTTCTCTCATAGAACAAAGTCTCTCTGCTTGTATATGCTCTGCTGTATCTTAATCAATTAGCATAATAGACCACATTTTATGTGGAAAGCCCTAATGAACTACTAACTTGTAGAGAACCCAGGTAAAAGATTTCATGACTCAAAAATTTCATGCTTCTGAAGCTATTGCTCTTGATCAGCTTAACTTCCGGTTACTAATGGACAAAATTGATGCTGTATGGATAAGCTATTTGAACTGACTTTGTTTTTCCTTTAGATTGAGCACTCTCGTCATGCATTAGACATGATGTATGGCTTATGCTTTGTGGTCGCCTGGTCAGATCTTCTGTAGTCTGACATTCCCGTTGAGCAAGGCCTCTTCATCAGTGTGACTTTCTGCTTGTGTTGATTTTTAACCTTATCGAATTCTTTTTTCATTGTACATTTTACAGAATGTGAAAGCGGTTTTTGATTCTGCAATCAAAGTAGTCATCAAGCCGCCTCAGAAACAAAAGGAGAAGAAAAAGAAGCCAAGGCGAGGGTTTGCAATGTGAGTGCCCCTCTCTCTTGTATTATGTTGTTACAACTTTATAGTTCATATATGTACTATGATTGAGTCACGGATTAACTGAATCGTAATTCCCGCAATCCAGAGTAGTTAGAATGTGCATGTGCATAATATCCTAAACAAAAATTTGCGCATGCATAATCAATCCTGTGTTTACCAAAAGCAGTCTCATCTGCATTATTATATACACTAGGCTGTGCCTCTTCAATAGTTGTCACTTAAAGGCGTCCTTGCTTGGTAAGTTTGGCTGCATTATGTGTTAACTTTTTTTGGTGAGGGAACTGCGGCTTTTTTGTATTCTTGTCAATCTACTCTGATTCAAATAGCATAAAAAATTAAAAACCCAAGACTTTGATTTAGTAGTGATAGGCAAATAGGCAATAGAGCAATAGAGTTTTTAATCACTATAGTCTATATACAAGTATATAGCTTTATGTAGCTTAGGATATATGGGATTATGGGATTGAAAAACATTTAACAAATTAATCCATGTCTGCAGGAATATCTGTGGTCGAAGGAGCTTCATGTGTTTCAAATGAATTTGTTGCTTGACAAGTATGGCTTTCTCACCAGTTGACGCAGATATTCACACGTTCAGCCAACAGGCCATCACTGACATCTTCACCACTTCCCCCGTCCCAGGACTTTTGTCATATGTAGATGCTGTCGATAGTAGTCTAGTCTTGCAACATGTTACTCCCTGTAAATGCACTCTGTGATATTTAAATCCTAATTAATTGGTTTTAGATGATCATAGTTGTTATCTCTAGGAAAAACAATACTAATTAGCGCCCCCTCCCCAACAAAATTAAACAAATGATGTTCAACATCTCCTGCCTGTTTTCTAGTGAAAGTTTTGCATTTTACAGTGTTTATTACAGCTGCTGTAATTTCTTAGCTTGTACTCTGTAGTAACTGGAAATTCAATACTTGTATTTGATATTATGATCACTTCCTTTACATGTGTTGTTCACCTTCTGTTTAGATAATACTCCAGGACTTGTATTAATCTAGGAAGATCGGCCTGCAGGCCAAATCAGGTCAAGCCACATGCAACACCATGTCGACTATGCCAGTCCAGGCTCAAGCACATGCTCGGTATCTATGGCAAGGTTTGTCCTGTGCCGGTCCATTAAACCTTTTTTTTTCAAGTTTGATAAAATTCGCCTTTAACCAAACTGTATACTCTCTAGTATTTTTGTTCTGGTACTTTATTATAAACTTACAAATAATTAAACACAACCTTCTAATATTGTTTAATTAAGTTGTTATTGTAATGATCCAGTGTAATTGAAACTTTTTGAAATGGAAAAATGTTAAGAAAGAGTACAGAATACGAGCGGTTAATTTGGCTCTTATATGCTTGAATAAGTCGTAGTTTGAGGAACATATAAAAAATATCCACTTAACCTACGCTACTCTTGCCATTGTTTCATAGTCACCCGTAAGGCCGTAAGCTGTTGTAGTCCTGACGTAACCTTACCAAGCACCAAATCTTACACCATACGTTTGAAGTTCGAATTGATTACTGACTCGAGTGAGTTGTAGATGGCGGTGTAAATGGCCGGAGAATATGCTAGTGATGGCAGATTAGGGAAAGATGATTGAATGATCGTGGAGGCAATGAGTTTAGAGTAGTAGAGTGGTGGCTGGTCAAAAGCAGCGCCAATGATGGCTCTATTAGAGAGAAGACAGGGGGAAGGCATATCGTTAGAGGAGACTAGCAGAGCAAGAGAAGTTTGTAGCTACTTAATAGACCAACTTTCTTTTGTTAAAGAAAGCAAATTTAACGTTTGGTTCACAAAAGATCATTGATGTGATGTGATCAAGTCAATTGAATCAATAAAAATCGAAAGTACAAGGGTACCATTAAGAATTTTCCAAGACATTTTTTGCTCCGCTAATACTTGCACTATTTGTCTAGAAGAAGCCTATAGAAGCCATATATGATAATGGTAAAATATTGTATGGAATCTCTACCTTATAAAAAGTACAAGATTACTCTTATGAATAGTGATATGTCAATAATACCCTTTAAAATGTGTATTTACATATATATCCTCAATTCCTCATTCATATGTACTAATGAATAATATTTGGACAATCATACCATCTAAAATATTTATTTATTTATTTGCTCTCATTAATGATAATTACCTCTTTTTTTTAACACTTAAAAATAGTGCGTGAACATTTATATACTTAAATATAATTGTTTATATATTTCAATGACTAAATTTGTGATGCAAGACTAAACCGAAAGAGATTCCAAATGTGGCTAGCTATAGCGCGCGTTAGTTGCCCTAATATTATTATAAATTATAATACAATCTCTCCGTTCTTTTGAAACTGTGCCATTTAAAGTTTTATGCTTGTCAAGTCACGTATTGTCAAATTGAGCCAAACATAACTTAGACTTGGCTCTTTAAGATATAGACCCAAACCCAAACTTGAACCGAGCCTTGAATATTGCACGGGCAAGCTATTATCTAGAGAACGAAAAGAGCGTGGTAAATATTGTTGATCCATGGTCTTTTGTTTGAAATATGGTTCGTCTAAAGCTAGGAGGGAATTATTATCAGAACACCCCACTCATTATTATCAGATAATCACAATTAAATAACCAAAACACAAAATTTCTTAGGAAAAAACATGTGTAAACCTGATTCACAATTAGATTATTATGGACTTGAGGTTCATACGTGTCATCCGACGTTATGCTAAACATAATAACCCTAATTTTAACAAGTCACCTTTATTACTCCATAAAACGTATGTGGACCTAATTCTCGACAATATCATACTCTTCGTTTTCTAATGTTAGTCTCATTTAAAACCTTTTGACTATTAAAAAATTAGAGAGAATCTTCTAAATTTCTCCCTATATAAAAACAGACAGACATGAAATCTAGTTTTATTAATCACGATGAGTACTTTTTTTTTTTACGGGATCACGATGAGTACTTTATTAATACCTAATTTTTATAATTTTTGATAGTGTAAGATTAAAGATATTTGCAATCAAAGATTTGCATCAATATACGTAAACTGGACTAACATTAGAAAATAAAGGGAATATTAGGCATGAGAACCACACGAGTCATCCAACATTATGCTAAACATAGCTATCTTAATTTAAACATATTGTCGTTTATTATTCATATTGACCGGCATATTAACACTGTCATTATACAATGCATTAATCTTTTGTGACCATTAATATAACACAGTGACTTTTACTTAAACGTAATCAGGGGCAGACTTGGCCTTGTGCCTGGTGGGTCAAATGACTCACCAGGGCCCAAAAAAATTTCTAAGTCTTTTTTTTTAAAAAAAAAAAAAAAAAAAATTATTAGTTTGTTAATTTTAGTCTTGTCAATTTTAAGCTTGTTAAATGTTAGTTAGTATTGTAATCTTGTAAATTTTCTATTTGGATGATCTTTGTAAGTAATTTTTTTTGGGAATTTTGGTAAAAAAAAAATTTTTTACATATTTGGTTATCGATTGTGAGTTTGTGACTCACCGGTCAGAAATTCCTGGGTCCGCCACTGAACGTAATAAACTTTATTTTAACATAAGGACCTAGATATTAATATTAGAAAAAATTCTCCTGTCCAATTAGAGAAGGAAACGACTGAGCACCTAAGTAACATCTTGCACCTGTGACCATTAATATTACAACACCAAAGGGCTTGCAGACGCAGAGCAAACATGAACCTATTATCAGTATATTACAATCACACATACACAAATTTTAGGCAGGTAAGACGAACTTGCCTACCAATCCGGAACGTCTAATCTCTCACGGGTAAACCCAACCCGGAACACAAATGAGCATGTATTGCTCACTAACTTAATATATATGGGGGTCTTTAAGTCTTTGACCAGGAGAAGTCAAAACAAAATTAATTGAAGCCCTAGCCTACAAGGTGCTGGCATGGTCCAGATATCAAGAGGGGGGGCCCTTACACTATGCGTACCTTTCCTTTCAAAAATAAAAAAAAATGAAGGTGCATTTATCAAGCTTGCACCTCCATCCCATGTGCAGGAAGTTTTCAGATTATAAAGCAGCATACCACAGCACTGCTTACTTGACAGGCTTCCGCAACTGAACTGAAATCAACTACTCTCAACAGAGTAGCAGATCTGACAAAAGGATATATTTCAGCTTAAAAAATGGAGGCCAAAACAAAAGCAAAGCTCCGGGTATGCAGGGCACAACTACACAATCAGTGAGAAACAAATGCAGAAATCGACCAAAAAACACCCACCACAGTGATTTACGATAATTCACTTCACTTTGACGCGGCTGAGTCTAGAGGAAATACTTATAAAGAAGCGGCACACTATACAAAATCCTGTAATACCAATAGTAAGATGGACAGCTATTTTGGAGCAAGAAAAACAAGTTATATGTAGTAAAATGAGAGATACTAGGGAAAGAATGGATAAATTAAGAAAAATGCACATACAAACACTTCTGCTTAGAGCAGTAAACAAATTCAACTTCCCTCCGCTGGGAGGTTGAAAAAGAAACGAATGGTATCAAAGCTATTGAAGCTTTGTATAACAGGCATTTTTCTCAATAATTTCAACTATCTACAGAAGAAACTGACCAATAGCCACCTGAGGATAGATTCACAGACTGAATAGCAGAACCCCAAACTTTTTTTTCTTTTTTTCAAGTAAACTGAATTGGTACAGCAGGAGATGGGAGAGGTCGGAGACTTATGATTGTTATGAACACACCAGTATACTCACTTACCACCCATCCTTTTCATGACGAGAGTTAGATGATGACTTCTTGGTAGTTAGCCTGGGTCCATCTTCTACAAACTGGAACAAACCCCAAAAAAAATTGAAAGAGAAAAAAAAATTAGATAAGGCAGGTTCCAGCAAACAACAAACGATCTGTACAATGGACAAACAATATACATCATGCTCAAGATATCGTATAAGATATTTTTCCCTACATCAAACAAATGACAGTTATCCACAAACAAGCAGTCCATTAACTAAAAAATAATCCTTTTGAGCGAAAACCAGAAACTGTATCATGGCAATTATGCAAACATCACTGCTTTCACAAGGGAAAAAATGTATATAATGAACAAAATGGGTAAAAGAAAGTTAGCCAGAAGATAACTTATTACACTGATCAAGCTCAAAAAATTGAACATAAAATCAGAAGGGAGACTTACATAGCTAAACCAACATCCATTTTTCAAGGGTCACTATACAAGGGGTCACTATATGGTAACATCATGTGATTCTATCGCCATGACGATTGCTTGAAGTTAAGCTTATCTATATTCCATCCTCCCTCAGGTTCCTTCCTTTTCATATGGCCGCCTCCCATGCTATACATCCTAGCTTGCTCGTCTGCAAGGGACTGTGAACTGATGGTGGAGACCTGCCTTGATACAATTGGCAGTGACTCATCTCTCCCTTCAACGTCCAAAACTCCTGGGCCAGAATTAAGATCTAGACCTTGTTTTCCCCATATATGATTGCCCCCAATAACAGAGTTATTACCGGTGTCTGGAATAGGCCGAGAAACAACATATGCATGAGGATACTGAAAGGACACTGCTGCTGCATTTCCAACCAATTGAGAAGGGATAGCTGAAATGCGCCCACCAGCAGTTGGGTCCATGTATCCAGAAGACCCACCAGCTAAGGCAGACGTTGGCAGAGGAAAACTGGTCCCAAACGGCAAGACTGGATATTGAAAAGGGGCAGGGTGGAAAGGCAAAGCAGGAGATGATGATAAAACTGATCCATTATAGGCATCAGGATTAAATGATAAAGCTGTGGTAGGACCGCCGACAACACGCTGAGGACCTCCACCAATCCCAACAAGTGAAAAAGCTTCTCTATCAGGTAAAGCTGATGGCATCATACTTACTGAGTAGCTGGTTCCAGGAGGATACCAAGAAAAGCAGTTCCCTGTATCAGAGCTATTAATTCTGGGCCCAAAAGGTGACTGTAGAGGAATGTTCCCACTATTAAGTTGACGCGATGGAATTGGATCAACAGGTAATTCCTCAGCCGCTGGCCCATCATTCAAATCAAAGTCCCTCTTACCACTTCCTCCACCATTAGAATAAACATTGGAAGTTGATGCTTTTACATGCTGAGTTGAGACTTCAACTCTCTGAGTGTTGCTAGTCATGTGCCGTCCCACATGGGTCATGTCTGAAGTCTCATCAACTTTATTAAGATCAAGATCAAGACCTCCAGAGCTACGCAAAGATGCAGTAGTCATAAGCTCACATACAGGATTATTTCTAACATTGAACTCCTGGCCACCACTTTCATCGGCCACATTAAGGTCAATATCCAAAGGAACCCGAGCTGGTCTGGGAGCCGGAGAATCAGGAAGAAGGGATTTTCTGGGCTCAGCTGGACGAAATGCACTTGTGGCTGCTGAACCTTTCCATCCAAGTTCCCGCTTATTCCACAACAAGTCATCAGGAGGAACAAAGGGTCCCTTAGCAGCTGCAGCAACAGTAATTGAAGCTGGTAGACCACATGATGCAGAGCAAACAGGGATTTGCACGGGACTGACTGAACAAACAATATCTGGGTACGGACCAGAACCCAAATTAACAGGCTCACCATTCCTCCCTTCATCAACATTAAAGCCTTCGTTTAAATCAAATCCAAGCTTTGTATCCACATCTGGACCTCGTGAAGCAGGTGGCAAGGAAACATTATCTGTGGCGGATACACTATTCTCTTTACTCTCTTCATCCATTTTAGACAATTTAGCTCTTTCTGCATTAGAATGTAATTCTGCTTCTGATAAAGCAACCGCAGTACAGCTTACTTGTGTACCTGAAATGTCACACTGCTGTGCAGGAGCATCTTTGTTTTCTGAATTTTGATCCTTGCAGCTTCTGTCCAGATCTACATCAGCACCACACAATTCATGTTCACCTTCTTTCTCGGGTACAGAAGAACCACTCTCTTTGTCTAGAATCCTTTTCCCTGCCTGACTGGCAAGACCACAGACAGCAACACCCTCAGCCTTTTCAGATTTAACTTCATTTGACACCATGACTGGCTTCTCATTGGTAATTGCTGAATCCACTTTCACTGCTACAGCATGTGATTTTTGCTCCAATACAATGTTGCTTCGAAGCCCTTGACTGGCCTGCTTCTTGTCGTCATCAGTAGGAGGGCATAATGCAGCATCTTTGAGAGCTTTTTTCTCAAACTCGTCATTCAAAGATGAACCCTTAACCTTATCCTTAACTTCCAGGCCAACACCATGTCCCTGACTTGCAACTGGATGCTCATTCTGACTCTCTTCTTTGGCAGCTACAATTTTACCATTCATAATTTCGGCACCAAGGTCACCCATACTCCTTCCAGTTGTGGATGCAACAGACGCAGGTGGAGAAACTGTTGCACCTTTTGGACAGCTTTTCACGTCGGCCTTCTCATCAACATCTGCTGAAGGGGCTGGTGGTGTTTCAGCAGGCCTAATACGGATACGCTCCTTCAGAGAGACATCGTTAACTTTGTCTTCAGTAGCTGAACAGCTACTTACACCCTCTCTTCTGTTGGGTGTACGCACATTACTGTTATCCTTGACACCTGTCTTGGATTCAAGAGCTTGTTCAGCACCTTCATTACTGACTGCACAAGTAGCCAACAGAGAGGCAAAAATGGTAGCACCGCCTTCATCAGTTTTCTTGTCAGATTTTGAACAAGCTTCCACATTGTTCAGCATATCCTTGCCAGAAATCCTCGACCGGTCACCTGAATCCTCGTGATGGACCGATACAACACCTGGAGTGACATTCTGTTTCTGAGTTTCAGCAACGACAGCAACACTGGGGCGGTTTTTGTCCCCTATCGAAGCATATACATCACCGTTAGGCTTTGATCTATTACTGTAGTCCCGGCATGATTCATCAACCAAAGAAGTGCTCCTCTGAGGAGATTGTGCGGGTGATACCACACCTGACTTCGAAATTTCCCCTGCAGCAACACTAGCAAGCAGATTCATGCCATCATCTCCAACAGAAATGGGTGTGTTATCTTCAGAGCACTTGGCACAGCTTTCAATTAAAGCATTGATAGAGCTTAACGAAGTATCAAGTGACTTTCTTGTTTTGATCTCACTTTTGATTGATGACACAACTTTCGTAACATCAGTTGGTTTTCCAGCTTCATCAGTAGTTGTACGTCCAGAATCTGGACCCGTAGCTGGAGATCCATCCCCTTCCTCACACCCAGTCATCCCATCTTTAAGATCATTGCTTTGCCAAGACTCAGTGTTCACATCTGATGGGGCATGATTTCGAAAACCATCAGATTTTTCTTTTGAACTGTGATCTAATTGTCCATGCTTCTCAGGAAGCACAGGAGATGAAGCTCTACTATTAGTGGAAGTAGGATCCTCAACAGATCCTCCATTACTTTGTGCAGGACTGCGGCCCCGATTGCTGATTTTCACAATTAGCTTATGGTTGGTGCTGTCAGAAACGGGAACATCCATGGCCTTTTCACATGTAACTGGCTGCTGCTGTAACTTTTCCGATACAGAGACCCTCATCACAGAAGAGTTTCTGCTAGATCCACCATCCTTCTGGACGGCAGAAACAGCCAGACCCTGCAACCCATTAGCAGATTTTCGGTGCCTGGAAGCACTTCCTGAACTCTTATTCAAACTAGTTGATCCCGAATTGGAGCTCCTTGAATCTTCTTTAACAGAAGGCCCTGTGTTTTTGGCATGGTCACTCGAACACTGGCTGTTGGTATGAGACTGACTAGAACCACTGCTTTTCTCATCTCTTGCTGCTGACTGAGGAAGTTCAGAGCTGCCACTAACAAAAGACGTTCTGAGATGTCCATCCCTAAGGCTAGCACTTGTAGATGCAGGTGATGAGGCTAATTTCACGGCTCCTGGAGATGCTGATGCAGATGGTGATTTAGCAACAGCATCTCCCTGAACCAGCTTAACTGAAGCAGATTTTGATGAAGAGAGTTGTGAAATAGAATTCTTCATGGTAGCATCTGAGGAGCCACTGGGATGCCGATTCCCAACCTGAGAAGCTTCATTACGTGTTCTAGCTGGCCAAGAAACAGCATGACTGGTACCAGACTTTGAATCATTAATGTTCATCTCAGCCTCCACACGCTTTTTCCATGTATCCACTAGACTCCGTGCCTTCTTCTGAATTTCTGAATTTCTATGTGACCGCAGATGATTCACAGACTTGCCAATGTTACACATCTGCAATGCATTAAGATTTACTGGGAGTCTGTCCAACGCTCGAAGTAAAACCAAAATTAAGTCCTCAACCGATCTATCCTGATCTCTGGGGCTACTGGAATCACCGATTTTACCCTTGTGGGCCTCCTGGAGCCATTCATCCAAGACTCGCAAGCCTCTAAGTTGCACAAACTGGTTTAGGCAATCAACCTTGTCTGTTGCAGCTATCACACCCGCCAGCAAGGACCGACAACTTAACTCCATTTTCTTCTCAGATTTGTCAGGCTGCATAAGATGGACTAATCTCTCGACCCCTTCAGAATTTACAAGCCCCCCTTTCTCGGTTATTTTATCAATTTCAAACTTCAACATGCCTTCTGTTCTCGGTAAACTGAAATCTACATCATCTGCTTTTGAGGAGCGCTCACGCTTCACAGGCTCGGAGGATTGATCACTTCTCTCCCTTTTCTTTCCCTTAGATTGAGAAGGGTAAATGGTAGTACTATTCTGCACACTATCAGGACTGTGTTTTAACTGTGATGTTGACATCGGACTATTCACTGGTTTTGGAGAGCGACCACCTTGTTGTTGAACCGTTGTATGCATTTCTAATTGAGTTTTACGTAACAGTTGATCTACTTCTTCTTGCCGACCCTGAAGAAAACAAAAAAATAATGAGCAACGGAAAGAAAGGAAACAGACACATCAAGGGGCAAAATATCAGCACTTCAGCAGCCAAAAAATTACATTGACACGTACATCAATATAATCCTGATCTGTCAACGACCACAAACGCTTGTTTGCAGTGTCGTAAACTCGTCGACACACAAATGAAGATATCCCTGAAGGAAGTTCAACTCCTCTTGGCAAGAATGCAACTTTACACGGATGTAATAGGGATGCAGCAGGAGTCTCATCCCTATGAAACGAGTAGAAAACTTCGTTAGGCGCAGCTTCTGGTGCAAGGCCTTTCAGAAGCCTGACATCTGCAGGCCGATAAAGCCAATTTACACCAAGCTGCAAGTTATTCTCTTTGTCAGACCCTAATGAACGAATAATTCCTATGAAAGGTGGGGAGTCTTGTTGTGGTTTAAAGAGAGCACAATCGCCAACGTTTATCTTGCGAACATCCTGCAAAACATTAGAAGCTATTGTTATAAAATGAAATGGCAACAGATTACTATATATATTATGAAAGTAGCAAGAACTCTGTAGACAAAAATAAAGTAAAATTGGCAAGGACAATGGCTAATAACACTGCAAAAACTAAGAATTCCAGAATGACATAAGATCAAACACAGCGAAAGATTCATCACTGAAGGAAGAAGAATTCAGCCAATATATTTTTACCTCAAAGACAAACAATTAATTCATCACCATCTCAACAAAAAGCAAAGCCACATTGCTGCTTACAATGAGTATGAGATGCAACAGTTAAAATTAAATAAAATAAAATTAAGGGAAGGCAATGCAGCATTTACATTAAGAGGACGGATAGGCTCAAACAAGAGAGAAAAAAATGCCTATATAAGTATATGCCTTAGATACTCTTCCTTACATCATCCAAACTATGCATTGGACAACCCCTTCAAAGGTAGTGGTTACGGTCTCCTTTAAAATGTCCAAATTCTTGCAAAACTTCGACCTCACAGCACCCCCATCAATGCAGTACAATCGCTCCTGGTTCAAGAGCCACAAGCTTTTAGCACAACATTGCAACAATCTTCTTTCCCAATTACTATTTGCCTGGGATAGCAAGGAACAAGCCTTCTATAAACTTAGCCCAATGAGAGCAACAACTAGATATTTGTAATCATGCATACTATCATTACGTTTCTCTCACCTCCAAAAAAACTCTCAACAAACCAAAGTAAATTGCTAAAATACATATGGAAACTTCACAATCAAGACTAGTAAGATGAAAGCACTGGCCGCTTGTTAGGGAAGCACAAAATTGGTAGAAAGTATGCTAACAAGATGACAGAACTTATAGCTAGTATAGGCAGCAAAAAATATGAAAGATAACACAGCTGATGGTGCGTATCCTACTCTTCCTTTTTTTTTGCTCATATAGCTGAGATACCTCACAAAAGTAGTCTGTAATGAGGTAAATAAGTCATGGCTACACTATCCTGAACAACCCAATTGGTTATCTTTTTTTTTTTTTGAGGAAACCCAATTGGGTCATCTGATCCTGATGTTAGCACCTACTTCTAGATTCAATACTTAACAAGGTATCTGTTAAAGAATGAATAAGTACTAAAATTCACTGGCCAGGCCAAACGGGGCAATAATCGAGATGTCCAGCTTTCACAATAGACTTATAGTTTCTCGGAAAGGGATCTAATATGGTCAGGGATGATTCCATTCTTTCAATCGGACCAGAACATTGTATTTACAAGAGCTTTTTCTCAGCCAAAAGAAATGATGATCCTATAGAAACAAACTTACAATATAGAAAATAACATGTTTTACAGAACGTGCTGTAATTGCCCCAATGAAGCCAGTGAAACTCAATCCATGAGAATAGAAAATAATTTGATGTACATCAAGAATTAAACTTTTGCTCAAATAATAGAGGTTGGAAAAAGTGGACTCAAAATTCTTTCGCCTCCTTGTCCCAAATTTCCAAATTAGTGTGTGAGGGGGAGAGAACAAGCTCCCCCTTTCTAACCCAAACATGACAACAGTGAAAGCAAAGCAGTAGAGGGTCCTACATGGAACAGGAAACAGGAGAAATATGAATAGCCTAACACAATGCTCAGCATAAGCTGAATGAAAATGAAGATTCAGCTGATGATCCAGTGAAAACACAACCAAAGACACCCCCTTTCTCCTCTAAATAACATCTAAAAACTGATTTCAAGCTGCACATTGTTTTGTTACATTCCAAGCACGAAATATCAATGAAATCAATTGGCTTAATCCTTGTTCTTCAACCATTCTCCGCCAAATAAAACCAACATGATAACAATTCCAACAAATTGCACCTACATTTCATGAACTCGTTTTCTAAGCAATTGCTACCCAGCAAGGCAGCAACCACAACTTAGTAGCACTTCGAAATCAAAAACAAGCATTTTACCAATTCAACATTTCAATCCATTCTCCAAAAATCATCTACCCTTCGGAATGGTTGCGACATATATCAATACCCCCACCCGGTATCAACCACAATCTCTTATCAATCCAATCCAACCCCGCCTTATCCTATCGATCTCTAAGCGCTCTAACACCAAAAACATCACCGTCATTCAATAACTCGAAACCCCGGATCGCCGTATCACGCAAAACACATCAAGCTACGAACAAACGAAACCGAAAAGTCCTGAAAACAATCATCGAACAAAAAACCAATCACACAATCAATTAAAAAAAAGGGTTTTGGCATACCTTGACAAAGGAACTGGTTGAAGACGAACCACCAACAACAACCGCACCAGAATCATCAACAGCAGCAGCTACACCACCGGTTGATGTTAAAACTGGCCGCATGTGCCGAATCCTTTTCCTACTCCCGCCGCCGGCCTCCCACCCAAGCATATCCTAGCATTTTCCCCAATTTTCCCTTCTTCGATCAACATCAATTCAAACCCTAATTCCTAAAAACAAATTCGATACCCACAAATTTCTCAAAACCACCTCCAAATTCCAAAACTCGATCTTATCTTTTCCTCAAATAAATCAAACCAAACCCCCTTCTCCTCCCCCAAATTAATCGCCGAACTAGGGTTTGATACTTTGTAATTTATAATATTATATAAAAATAGCAAAAACCCTAATAAATCGATCCGATTGAAGCTGAAAATCTCCAGATCCAAAAACTAGAGAGAGATACAGATAAGAAGAGAGAGAAATAGAGAGAAAAATCCGAAAGTAGAGAGAGAAAATCGATAGGAGAGAATATCGCCGATCTACCCAGAAATTGAGGAGAGAGAAAATCAAATTCGAGGAGAGAGAAAAAAAATAAAAACCCAGTTTTTTCGAGGTAATTATAAATATAAATAAAAAAATATTATAATAATAATAAAAAAAAAATTAAAGGGTGGAGAAAAAAAAATGAAGTGGTGAAAGCGGACCCGCCAGGCGGCAAAAGGAAAGGCGTAAACTGGGTCGGGCAGTTCGGTCAGTTTTAATTTTACGGGCAGTGCTAATCTCACCGGTGGTTGTACGTAACTTACTCCATCACAGACAAAACAGAATGTGACTTCTTCTTGTCCTCTGCCCAGTTGACTGTGACTTTCTCTCTCTTCTAAAAAATATTTTTATTTTGTTATTTTTTTTATTTTAAAAAAAATATTATTTGTAATTTAAATATTGAAGGTGCAAATGTAGAAAGAAAGTCCATAAATTAGGGTCAGTGAAACCAAATCAATTTTGTTCCATTCTGCAGGTGTACAAATATGGGAAGTGGGGTTATGGGGTTGCACCATCCTACTCAAATATGTAGGTTTTTTCTAAGGTGGGTGGGACCTACATGATGAACAAGGGTAAAAATGTCATTTCACTTAAATGGACCTACCATCTTCTTATATAAACCCTCTCAAATGTGTTTGTTTATTTGATTATAGTATACTCTTCTACATGAAGTATAAGTTCTTATTCTATGATGTGGTTTTTTTTTGTTTTGCTTTTTACACATGTGAGAGAGAAGGAATTAAGGTTGTCTCGAACTCTTCCAACAACTCATCTTGCTAATCAAGTACAGTAGTATTGCACTTGAAACAAACAGTCACAAAGAATTTAACTCGTCGACTATTTAGTATCTATCATACATTCGGGTGTAAATTTATATTCATTCTCAACTCGGTTGATCTGTTTTTGTCTTGTGTAAGATTAGAGCCCGTGTGTACAAAAAAATGGAATTAGAGGAGAAGTTTAGAGTAGATTGTAAAATGCATGTGTGATGATGAAAGGCTGAGAAGTCAATTCATAAAAACAGAAGAAAGAAAGGAACAAAACTTTGCAAGAAATTTATATTTCGGTGATGTCATTTTCAAAGAGAAGTTTGATTTTATTGCAACTTCTTTCATTGTCCCACATCTCCCACATAACCAAACTATTGGCAATTGGCAATAATATACCTTCCTATTCAAGGACAAATAATACACACTAGTCACTTTCTAAAGGAGCTTGGGTTTTTTGTGCTCAACAATCTTTCATTGTCCATTATCTTAATTTTTTGATTGATTGACGAAAGGCAATTCTTGACAATAATGGAAATTTGCTTTCATCTATTTAAAGACATTTGAGGGTGTGTTGGAGAATTTTTTTTAGTGCTTTTGTTCGACAATATCTGTTTACATTTCTAATCGTGACTATTTTTGTGTTGTGTTTATTGGTTAAAAATAAATTAGTAAAAGTACTAACAGTGTTGTTTTGATATCTTCTCAATTATTGTTTACTATTCTTGCATTATATCTTTTGGATCTTTTATGATTTGACAATGAAAATACAAATGTGGTGCATTGCTTTTTGGTAACTTTCTTTTTGTGGCCCATCATTAAGTGTTATAAGCTTCAAAATACGCCCGATGTATCCCATAAGGAATATATACATCAATTTACAAAATAGAGATTTGAACCCGAATCCATCAAGAATTCATAGGACCGAGCCAAATATTAGTTATAAATTAAAAGGTATTAAGAGTCACTCATATATCAACCACCATGAGAGAGCAATAGACCCTAATTCTCGGGTGAGAGTATTTAAAATTCTTTGGTTGTTTATTATTGTCAATTTTTCGCTCATAATGAACTTTATTTTCAAGGTTTATACCATAAAATGCTGACTTGTTGGTCTTTTTATTATTACCTTAATATATGGTATGGTTACTCTTGAAAGCTAATTGTAATTGTTGCCTCTAAATTTGGAAAAGTTTGAACCCCAAGCCTAAAAAACTTAGCATATGTCATTTTTTTTACATCTTTGCTTTCTTTTGTTATACCCATTTATGTGTTCACATCTATTAATGCGTCTCTAATCGTCAATAACTTTAATTTTTTATCATTGAGGAATTCGTGGTCAAACTTTGAACTGGTATTTGAAAATACATTCTATTTTGGTACATCTTTCAGAAATGGAGAGAGTACTTGAAAGAGGTAAGGTTGTGGAGTTTATATGTTTAAGTTAGACAAAAATAAAATTTAAGTTTCAACGGTAGAGACAAGAATCGATTGATTAGCAACCAACAAAATATTCTAATGGTTTAGTTTAAAGTGAATCTACTCTTTAAAAAAAATCCTATTTTATGCATAGTTGAATTTGTGTTGAGAAAAAGTGTAGTCGTGCAAATATATGAGTATTATTATATACATGATAAAAAATGTACACCCTCCATATTTTATTACTTGCTTCATTTCTCCATGTGCGGAGTTTTAGGAGAAATAGTAGAAAATAATAAAATATGAAGGAAGTGGGGTCATTGGTGGAAGAATAAAGTATAATAGTTGGGAGGAGAGAGAATATGGAAATATTAAAGTACTTCGTATGATAGTTAGGGGGTCCACTAGGAGAATAATTAGTAAAATATTGTGAAAAGTTTTCAAAAAAATGGAGCAAGCTAAGTAATAAAATACAGCCACAAAAGGAAAGTGGAGCAGGCTAACTAATAAAATATGGAGGGATCAGAGTATCATATAATTCAGAACACACTTCGCCTATTTATATTGAAGAAACGGAGAAAGATTGTTTTACCATGCAATATTAAATCGTTAAAGACTAAACTTAATACCATGAGCAAAAATCTGTAAGAAAATATTATACAAGTGTCAAGTTTAGGAAATAATTTTTGAGACCGTTTTCACAAAGTAATGAAATAAAACTATATGCTCACCATACAACGAAATTACGAAATATTAAGGAGTATAGACATTAACAAAGTAAGGAGAGGGCATGTTTCTCATGGCGGTCAATCATAGTGTAATACGGAGTACTATTGAAATTGCAAGAAAAAAATTCTACTCATCAGATCATCTAAAATTTATACTATAAATTAAAATGTGTTCCTAATGAAGCTTATGTGCCACGTGGCACCTTCCTTAATCAATCGAGTATTTCATTCACGTGCTTAAAAATATGACTTATAGTAGATTTGAACCCACGACCTTAGATTTTAAAACTATATTGTTAGTAACCAAGCTATTACGATATTAATTGTCTTTTTTTAAAAATTTATTATAAATAAGGATTTCAATCATGGAATTACTGCAGCACCTCGGGGCATTGCTTGGGACTAAAAACTAGTTTAGTCATTAAGCAGTGAAAAAAAAAAGGTAAAAACAATACTTTAAATATTAATTGCTGAGCATTAATTTATGCATACCAGGCCAATGAAATTTTGTTTTACTCATTGAAAATGATTTTACCAAATTATTGATTGACAAATTCATCACCACCGTGTTTTGTTATTTGAAGTTGATATTTCTACTGCCTAAAATAGATTGTTTACTGCATAAGACATATATTTTTTTATTATAAATTGTTTTGAAGTCACATTCTTGCAAGAGCTTATGTTGGTTTGTCCATATATACTTGTTTGAAATGAGTTAGACCAGTTGGTGGTGGCTACATGCTCAGGTGGTGGCAAACTAGACCAGAGGCGGACCTGGCCTTGTGCCTAGTGGGTCAAGTGACTCACCAGGGCCCAAAAAAAACTAAGTTTTTCCTTTTAAAAAAAATGTCATGATTGGGCGCTATTGCTTACTGCACATATGCTTGCCGAGGTCTTGGGCTTAAAAGACGACTAGCCTGGCTCTGTTCTGAAACTTGTGGCTTGGCCCATCTTTGAGTTGGATAAAGACAAGAAGGGATGGGTCAGCCTTGATTATACCAACCCAAGGAAAAGTATTCGGGTTTTTAAATTTATAATTAATGTATAATTGATAATTTTTTAATTTATTTGTATATATTGAGATTTTTGTTTTGTGTGTAATATTAATATTTTGGTGTTAGAATTTAGAATGTTAGGTTATTAGAGATTTTAGTTAAATATCTAATTTATTTTTTGTATTACTGATTTACTAAATAAAAAACTAGAATATTATTAAGACTAGTATTGTAATAAATTAATACTAAGACTACATTGATCCTTCTGATAGCGACTGTAAGTGTGGAATGAATGTTTTCATTATTAATGACTTATGTAAAAAATAAAATAAAAAGTCTTATGTAAAGAAAAAAAAAGGTTGCGGAATGGTATATACGGTAAATTATTGAATGATAGTTTAAGTCACTTTTCTTGAGATTGACTTATTTGTTAGATTTAGTGATAATGATTTATTGAAACGCTTTCAAAGTATGAAAACTCGAAAAATGCTTTTGTAGTATTTTTTTTTAATTGCATTCTCTCTCCTCCCATCTCAAGCTCAAAAAGTCGCTGCTTTTTTTTGTTCATTCTCCATTGCACTGAAACTGGTTGATGATTTGCTTCTGAGAAAGAGGGTACACGAACAGAGGATATATGGTTTCTGGGTTTTTGGATGTATTTTTTAGTACTATTATTTGGTTGGTAAAACATTTTTTTTACATATTTGGTTATCGATTGTGACTCACCAGTCGGAAATTCCTGGGTCCGCCACTGAACTATACACCGAATGAAATAAGTTGGTACCGCAAAATATGGATAGCAAATCGAAGATGCATAGAAAATTATTACAACCTTGATTAGGAGAACAAATGATGAGAATGAAATACTATAGGCTCACACTTCTACTGGCCATTACACGGTAAAAATTGGCTAATTGTGGTTGCTACAAAGAGAACATAATCCTCCTAACAGTGGATAAATTTTGGAAGCAATTCTGGATAATTAAAGTTCCTCCTTTTTAGCTCAGACGAGGTTGAAAAATTTAAAACAATGCAATTAGCTGTAAATTTGAACTGCGAAGGAGAAACATCCTTGTAGATACAACGCGTGCCCTGTGCCAACCAAACAAAAAGTCACTTGCACATTTGTTTAGGGACTGTTGATTGGTACAAAGAATTTGGGCATGTGGCCCTTGGGGCTTACACCATGTGACCCAAACATTTACTTACCAAAGATGTTTAAGAGATATTATTAACCATGCAATGAAAAATCAAGCAATACACTGTCACACTTGCAATCATTAGAGATTATCATAGCCACAATATGAAGTATTTGGGTGATGAGACAGGAATTAATTTAAGAAACCGCAAATCCATGCCCAATGAGATTAATTGTTTCCTAGAAGAACCCATAATAAGACTGGATAGACTACAACAACCAGGTGGGGATTAAGAAAGGTGAATTGGGAAGTATATATAAGCCATGGAGATAACTGATGGTTGAAAGGAAATAGTGGCGGTGAAGAGGTGTTGACAATCCAGATAGGTAGAGCTTGGAAGAAATCGAATAAAAGTCTTGAATGATGATGGAGAAATAAAATGTATTATTTTTCTTCAAGAAGGAAGGCTTCGGACCTAGGGGAAGCAAAAGGTGATTTGAGGATCAGCATTGCATTGTGAATTGATTGTCATTAAGATGAGACTATAAGAAGATACTACAAGATCATTTAAGATTGAGATATAGACAAATTTAAAGGATGCATTGCTGATACCGAAGGACCCTAATTCAAACCCAAAAGATCTGAAAGTATTAAACATTTCTCACATTATCTCTCACCTAACTTATTTTTGCTGCTGTTATGTCCCTAAAAATGTCATAACTAATGCCTCATAATTTTACCGATTGAATGAAACTGGAAAAAGAGGCGAAAGAACCTAGTATGTGTCATGCAAAGGTGAAGTCATTACGAAGATGATTAGCGAGGGAGCCCGTGCCACGCAAAGCCCCTCCTCATCAATCACTTCCTCAACTCTTAGTCTCTTATGTCAACATCACAACCAATTCACCCGAGTTCGAATCTCACTCCCTAATTTTACATAAGACTTTCTTTTTCATTTTTCCAATATTTTTCTCTACACTAAATTGGGGGATTATTATTTAACAGTGAAAACCCTAAAAATAAACCAAAATACACAAAACCAATCCATTTTTCACAAGACTATTTCTCTCCACATCTCATCCTCCTCCTCCTTCCACACCGCCGTGGGCTCCACCGTCCTTTTCTCCGACGACCACTTTTCCCGTTTTCCCGGCGCCGCTTCTCTTTTCCGTCAAGTAACTCTTCCTCTTTCTCTCTCCTCTCTGTTGCATTTATCTTGGATTTCCGATCTAAATAATCTTGCTACTTCGATCTGGATTTTCGATCCCTAGTTATTTCTGCAAATTTATCGATACTTTTCTGCTAATTATTTTTTTTTTTTTTTAATTTGATTTCAATTTTATGATTATTTTTGGATTGATTTTGTTTTTTTTTGGATTGATTTTGATTGCAGAGAGGTTAGCTGCGATAATGGCTGGAGGTAGATTACTTCAGCAGATTCTTAAGAAGAAGTTCCAGTCTCATTCCACTGTAATAATTCTTTTTATTCATATATTATTAAAATTTAATCGTTCGAAATTGTTGATATTTTCATTTAATTAATTATGTTGAAAATTTGATAGTGTAGTATCGGGGATGATAATCTGGAATCATTGACTATGATCTATGACCATGAGAATTGTGTGTGTCAATGTGTAATTTGTTCCGCCGGATAATCGCTGGAGTTATTGTCTATACTGGTGCTGTTGTACAACATTTGTGGCATATTCTATATTCTGTAAACTTTACTGTCTCTTAGTTTATGCATGAGTTACGGTCTTGTTTGGCGTTTGGTGTTTATGTATGTGTTTATCATAGTAGGAATTTAGTAAATAACAAGTGTGATTTGTAATATGTTGTTTGGTTATTCTCATGTACGAAGTATATATTCAAATATCTAATTTTATAAGTTTTACTAAGGAAGTATATGATTGACTTGTCATATAAGAGCAAAGTAATTCATTATCTTGAACCTTGCAACCGAGTTTATGGTACATTCTTAAGAGATAGAAAAATGAAACAACTCATTATCTTAGGCTGTGCCAATTGGTTAAAATTTTTATTGGTCAAACTTATTATTTTATGAATGTTGTGAATATCATTATCCTAAAACAACATCTCTTTTTAATTATCATTTATGCTTCTTTAGGTTGGTTATAATAATAGTTTTTTCACACAGTTCACAGACCATGAAGCTCCTTCTATAATTTTCAATTGTATGTAAATTTCTACAGTTTTTTGCTGTGGTATGTAGTTTTGTTGAAATTTTTTGTCTCATTCGTATATTTTCTTTCAAATGAATTCTTTATTTCCATGAAGCTCATAGTGAAGAAGTACTATGCTGTTGCTCATCCCTCTCATCTTGTAGAATTTGTTTCATGATTGAGGTTTTGTGTCAATTATTTCGCTTATTTTCTCTTTTCAGATGTAAGTTAAATATGTTCTTTTACTTGCAAAGTTGTGAGAACAGTTGGTGCTTGATGGTTGTTGTATCCCCTTGTTTTTGCTAGACCATAATGTTTTGATTTTCACAAATTAGCCTTTTGCGCTGAAAGGTGTTTTATCCATCCTTATTTGGAGATGGGGTTCCTCCTCTTAGCCTCCGTCATCACAATCTTCTACTTTAGATGATTCAGATCTCCGGGTCCATTGTCACCATCAACCTGTGGGACATATAAAGCTAAGGTTTTTGCAAGTTAAGGAAGCATTGTTCCACTTGAAGAGACTACTGTCAGAGATGTTTAAGAGGTTGAGATACATTAAGAATATTAAAAAAATGAATAGAGCTGATAAAATGAAAAGAGCTTGCTTTATCGTTGTTAATGCCAAGGCTTTTGGAGAGAAAGGGAGGAAGGGGGTGCTCATGTACTTATATATGAGAGGTGGTGTTAGGGTTTCTGGAGATGGTGACAGCCAGACAGCAAGATTACAAGAATGTCGCCAGGAAGAACAACCACTTTTGTTGAAGGAAATGTTTCCTCTTGAAAAGACTGAACCCCAGCATCTTCACCGTGAGTTGATCGTGGTGTTGATAATAAGCTATGTTGGGGTGACATTTGGGAGGGATGGGACTTGAAATAAATTTGGAAGTACAAAAGCCCTAAGCAGTATTCTAACAGAAAAGAAAAAAGCAAGACTGGAAAATTTTTAAATTAGAATTTCAGAAGTAATAAATGAATTTCTTAAGGTATGAGCCGTCAAATAGACTTGTCAGAAGTGTAGGATTTCTTACGCTTAAGAAAAAAAAGTGTATGAATTTCCCTTTTTTTTTTTTTTTTGTCAAATTCTTCTTATTTATGTTGGAGAGGGGACTTCTATTGATTGCAAAAAACATGTAAAGGATTATAGCATTTTTTTAACTAATAGGTTCCAATTGTTGTGCTTTTTATTCATCAGCCAAACAAAGTACTTTATTTCATATTGTTGTTGGTGTTTTTGGTTTGGCAGGCAATTCCAGCTTTATCATCTGCTGTCTCGAAAGATCAAGACACTATTGGATCTTCTGGCACCAAAGTCTTGCGAGCTTTTGCTCTCCTTGGAGCAGGTGCAACAGGGCTTTTGAGTTTTGCCACTGTAGCATCTGCTGATGAGGCTGAACATGGCTTAGAAAGCCCAAATTACCCTTGGCCTCACAGTGGCATCCTCAGTTCATATGATCACGCCTCGTGAGTTGACACTTTTTGTAGAAAGCATTTTTTTGGTAATTTGGGTGGTAGATTGATAGTATTTTGTCCTTGTTTAGGATTCGTCGTGGGCATCAGGTTTACCAGCAGGTCTGTGCTTCTTGTCACTCAATGTCCCTGATTTCGTATCGTGATTTGGTCGGTGTAGCATACACTGAGGAGGAGACAAAAGCTATGGCTGCTGAGATTGAGGTGGAAGATGGACCTAACGATGAGGGGGAAATGTTTACTCGTCCTGGGAAACTCAGTGACCGATTTCCTCAGCCATATCCTAATGAAGCAGCTGCAAGGTTTGCTAATGGTGGGGCGTATCCTCCTGATCTAAGTCTTATCACCAAGGTATGTTCGTTTGCTATGGATTTCTTTTAACCATATGAAGTTGTTGCTTGATAGGTTGTGCCTGGCTAATGTTTTACTTTTAATTCTCTCGCAGGCTCGTCACAATGGTCAGAACTATGTATTCGCTCTGCTAACTGGTTACCGTGAGCCACCTGCTGGTGTTGTGGTGCGTGACATCTTCAATCTCTTTTCAGTCTGGTCAATTTTAATGAAGTAACTGTCTAAAATTGAGTTGATCGATAGTTATATTTTTTACTAGTTCCAAAGTAATTTGTCGTCATGGTTTCAATAAGGCGTACTAGCACTATAGAAGAACTTTTTCCTTTGTTCCCTGATTTGGCTGATGGTTGAGATTTGGAGTTGAGTTGAAAACTTGTGTTTTTTCCCTTTATCTGCAATTCTTTGTCGCTCATCTCTGTAGAATTGCTTTTCCTATGTGAACCTGCACAAAGCTTTCCAGCTGATGTTGAGGAAGGTCTACAGGCTTGGGAGATGATAATGTTAGGGTTGAAAACAGGGCGAATTAAGAGGGTCAGAAATGGTAATTGCCCCCCTGTCAGGGATAGAGAATAGTTAAATATAACTATGTAGTCACCAGAAGTTTAGTTGGAAATGGTCAGCCTTCTGGCTGATCTAGTGCTTTTTCCCTAATTATACTCTGTTTGGTTCAACTTATGTTGTCTGAAATTTGGCAAATCCCTTATTTTATCTGAATTTAATTTCTCTAAAGCAATCAAACCCTGTTTATTTGAACTTATATAATCTGAAAAAAGTCAACATAAGTAAATGTAAGATGGACAAAGACCAAATACAGCCTAATATCTCAAATATCTAATCCTTCCTTCGCTGTTATTTTTTTAATGATTCATAATCTAGAGCTTTCCAATTCCCATCCAGATCTGAATTCTTGCTGGTAGAGTGGTTCTCGATTAGTGAACCTAGTCTTTGTTTGTCGACAACGGAAGATGTTTGAGGGCTGTTAAATTTCCTGAATTGCTGAGCCCTTACTCGAGGTCATGTCTCATGAGGTCATTATAGCAGCAACAGCTTTGAGTTTGTAAGTTATGATTCATCTGTGTGCTCTGCCTGCTCATCCTGCATGCACCAACCTTGGCCAGTGTTTCTGAACATTATTTTCCACTTTCCATGTCTTGTTTACTTATTTATCCTCCCAGTTGATCTGCTTGTGGTTCATCTTTCTCAAGTGGGTGTAGTGGTGAGCTTATGTTAAATTATGTTAATTATATTTGTATTGTCTTGCATTATTTGAAATTTTGAATGTTAATATTCTTATGTATTCCTTAACTATAGCCTTAATCATATTTTTGTGTCATCCTTGTACTCATGTATATATCTTAACGTAGTAATAAATGAGAATTACTCACCTAGGGTTTGGCACGATGAGGTTGTTACTAGTGTGATTCCATGAAGGAATCATTCGTGAGTGACTCATTTATTTGGTAAGATCTATATGTCATTTGGTTATAATTAAGGCTCTATTTAAGGTAAAAGCTTAAGAATATACATAAGAATATGTACATTACAAAGAATTAATGGTGTGGCAGTATTGGTAGCCGTGGTAGGTACAGTGGCCACTTTGCCATTATCCCAGTAGTTGTTTTTAGAAAGGAAACAGAGATAGAAGATAGAGAATAAAGACATTTAAAAAAATGATGCAACATGTTTAATAAGTTACAGGTAGCTGAGACTAATTAGGGAGGGGTACTTCCAAACTTTGGATTTATTTTGTCAATCTTTGTAACTTATATTCGGAAACTTATTTAATTTAGTTGAGAAAAAAGCCTCAGTGTTTCAATCTTTGGCTAGTGTAAAGTGTGCAATTTGGTACTAAGGTAACTAGGGACTTTTGAATTTTGAATGACTTGTAAACAGCTCGTTGTCAAAATCCTAGAGAATACGATGGAAGCTTTGCTAGGCTGCAATGACAATTGAAATATGTATGCCTTTTGTCCACCATTTACTCTAATAATAGGTAGTGCTGGTTTCACCCAATGAAACATTTCACTTGAGGTTCCCTTTTTGCTTTGTGACAACAACTAGTTGTAAAGAATCCCACTGAAGAGTAAAGTGTGGTAATATTCTGTGGGAATCATTAAAGACTCTATTTGAGAGATATTTTAGCAATTACCAAAAAGAGTTGTGAAGAATTTGTTGTAGGCTTTTCCTTTGTTAGTGCAATGTTTTTTATTGCTAAAAAGCTTACACTCAGTTGTCAGTATTCTGTGATACTCAACAAATGGAATTGTTATCACTCTTACTGTTCATGGTGTCATTGTTGTGTTATTCCTAAGTGTTCTGATTACTTCTTACGATTGGTTATTGAGCCTTTTTATGGGTGCTGCAGATCCGAGAAGGTTTGCACTACAATCCATACTTCCCTGGGGGCGCTATAGCTATGCCTAAGATGCTTAATGACGGTGCTGTTGAATATGAGGATGGAATTTCTGCAACAGAAGCTCAGGTTCAGTTTTTCCCATTCCCAGAAATTTGTTTGCTTAGACAAGCGAGCCTAGTATATTGGTTAATCCTTGCACGATTTCACTTATTAATTGATATTTTTATTGCAGATGGGCAAAGATGTTGTGACATTCTTGTCATGGGCTGCTGAGCCTGAGATGGAAGAGCGCAAACTGGTATGCTATGTTTCAAGTTGCTTTTGATGATTGGCTTATATTTTAGCTATTATCCTCATCTTGAACCTTTTTATGCAGATGGGATTCAAGTGGATATTTGTACTATCACTAGCATTACTTCAGGCAGCATACTACCGCCGTTTGAAGTGGTCTGTCTTCAAGTCTCGTAAGCTGGTCCTTGATGTTATCAACTAGAGATCGGTGTTCTTCTCCATGTATTGGATATGGGACAATCCCGATGGAAAAAAATAATTATTTACCGGGTGTTATTGTGACTGCCATGATTGAATGTTCCAATCGTGTAGCTTGAGGAGTCATATTTTGGTTGCCAGGGAAGAAATAAGCTTCCGACATACTTATAGTAGATCATTCTTTTTTATATTTACTCTTGGACGATTTTGATCGTACTTCTTTGCATGTTCAGAATGGCCAATTGTGTTTTTTGGATATTCTGGCGCCATGTTACTGCATTCAGGGCATGCTTCAACTTTCTTTAGCCAATTTTGGTTCTGTTTAAACTGTAACAATAAGACTGAGGAACTATGGTCATATCTCTTCCCAATATATCTGATCATCTTCTCTTACTGTTGTATTCTCTTCTCTCAAAATCGATCTTAGGATATCTTCATGATAAGGTATTAACAAACAAGGCAAAATAATTAATTGTTAAGTCATTTATACGAGTAATTTGCACTGATGCATGAATTATATGAAATAAACCAAGATTAATGTGTCTTGAAACTAATGTAAAAATGTGAAATGAGTGATCGAAGTCCCTGAAGTAAGTGTAATATTGAGAGAACATATTTATGGCTTACTGTCTACAGAGGACTATGGACATATGGGCTATGGTCACATTTACATTCATGATATTAGATCTGTCGCATGATCTTTCAACTGTGGCAGAAAGAACCGCAGAAGCCAGAACATTCAGTTTTGTGCCCATCAAGCATCCAACTACTAATAGAAGGTACTATTACGGCGTAGTTAGTTGAAAATTTATGTAATATTTACGGCATTCTTCGTAAATGATACGGCATATATGTATATGGAGTAATTTGTATAAAATCGAGTAACCTTTCAAATAATAGTTTAAGGATTTTAGTTTCTTCAAAGTGTTAGTGCATGACTATTTGTCAATTTTAACTATCAATGCTTTGGTTAACATACTTTACGGAATTAGAAAATAATCGGATAAAGTTACTAGTCAGTTTGGTAACAACTACCATAGTTTTTTGTTACTCCAATGGGTGTGTGTATATAAGTTGAAGTAGTTAAAACAAAACTCTAATGCTTCCTTAAAATACCAACTCAAATATAGGGTTAGTGAAGAGCTTTCTCAGTTTTTACTTTTGCCTACTACTTCCAGAAGATAGCACCATTTAGTAATTGAACATGGTAACATTGAGTTACTTTTTACCATTAAAAAAACTTACAATTTGGCATTTTTTTTATTCCTTCCTTCTTTTACCATAAAATAGTTGAATGTGTAAATCATTGACTTGTCATCCTAAGGAAAAGATGTACAAATAGTACTCCATATTTATCAGATTAATATACTTAATGGCAGAGCATAAGCATTACCATCGGAGTTATGATGTTTAGGTCCTATAAGTTAAGTACGTGTCTCACTTGATGTTTTTAATATTGGAATATGAAGTAAATATTCTTTCGTGTTTTGTGTTATGTTTGTTAGATGTCAATTTCAATTAATAATACATGATCTACACATCACAAGTATTTAAGTCTTATAAGCTTTAATCACATACTTCATACTCCGTATTTAGGATAACATAATTCTACCTCATACATACTCTATCAACTACGATAGCTACATTCTCCTTGTTAACTCCCTACCTCCCCAATTATTTGCCCCATTTGTAATTTTTGTATATTGTTAGTTTTTTGTTAAGTGAAATTGATAAAGGATAAGAGTGGTAGAGTCGATTATATTTTATATGAGAAAAGTTGTGGACTCCATAATAAAAAATTAAAAATAATGCAATCTTTTAGAAACAAACTTAATAAAATATGAGACAAATAATAAGGAACGGAAGGGTAACTTTCTAAGAAAAAAACCTTCTCCTAGAATTTGTAGGTGAAGTTAAGATGCTTTGTTACTCCATACTTTGACGTAGATAAAATTTGCTCATTATAAAACTTCACCAATTAAGATAGTTCGTAGCCGCTTGTTATTCTTATTAGTTTCAAGAGTGTAATAACCATTGTTAGTACTATTAACAAGGAGATGAATATCCTCATAACTAAGTTTAAATTATGGATGATTAATTAGTTTAGTTGGTTAAAGTCTTAATAAAAGATATTCAAGACCTGAGATTAAATTCCGTCTATATAATTATTCTAGTAGCTTTTTTAAAAAAAAATAAAATATTTTAAATTAATTGTACTTTGAGCTCATTCCAACCCACCATTTTTCACATTTTAGCCCCACATTTCTTTTGACTAATTACTCTACTACTGTTTATTTTATACTTGTATTTTCTTTTCTTTTTCTCTTTTTTTTTTTTTTTTTTTTTTTTACAGTGGAGTAGCATTTTTCCATGCCAAACCAAAATTAAAAGGTACGGAATGGAGAATATATATTTGACCCTACTTTAGGAATTGATGAGACTTGGCCAGCAAAGAATTGATGAGAGAGAAAATGACACAACACAAAGCAAATCATCCTTTTCCAAAGGTCAGAACTCAGTATCAAAGCTTAAATTAAAAAAAAAAAAAAAAAAAAAAAAAAAAATTAAATTTGTATGAAGGAATTGCATTAAAAGTTGGAATTGCAATTTGGACCACACATGCACCGCAGTCCGCAACAATTTATACGGGCTTTTGGAGGTATCCTAAGTTACCAAAAGCCTGTTTCATCTTTAGGCCCATTTTCTAAAATACTCCTTGTAAACTTCAACTTTGCAGCTTTTATTCACTCTCTTTTCGTACTTGTTTTTTCAGTAGGAGGATTCGGTTTCCATGAAACAAGACCTACTAATCCTACTATCATTCCCTTGCCCTTACCCCCACTCCACCCTCTAATTCGGATCGAAATGATATATGTAATATTTCGGTCCAATAGGACACTACTCCTTATCAACTATAGAAAAAGGACCTATAATTGATTTCATTGAGGTTGCTTCGTTCTGAGGTGGGCCAGTCCATATCGTGAAAGACATGGACCAAGTGGCACAACTGCACATGCACAAGCTAAGCATAAGCGGAATAACATGTTAGTATGAAGTATTAATATTTAAAGTTCGATCATTATGATTTCGAGGTCCCGAGGTTAAGACAAGCAAAAACATTGCAACTAAAACACCATAACAGAATTAAAACATAAATTGTAACTAAAAGTGTAAAGCTGCCGGGTTAGAGTTTTATAAAATATCAATCAATAACATAATACTAAAATAGACACCAAGAATGACACGTGTCACTTCTTGGTGCTGTTTTTTTCCATTCAAATTTTTTTTTCTTTGTTTATTTTATTCACTTCTTTAGAAAAAATTCACTTCTTTATATAATTGTAATTCACTTTCTTAAACAAAATATTCACCAAATCATATAATTGTGATTCACTTCCTATAAAAATATTCACATATTTTCCATATTTTTATTGTATAAAATATTATTCTATATCTTTTACTTTTTTTTGGTGTTCTACCTGATTCGCCGTTTTGTCTAATTCAAATTCAGGGCTCAATTTAGGGTATAAATTAAGATTCAAACTTTTTCAATTTCATTTGAAAATATGAGGATTATTTTTTGGTAAGATTTTGAATTAACATTATAATTCGTTATAAAATTTTGTAAAACCCGTGCGTGCACGAGACTTAATCTAGTACTAGTCCCAAAAACTAGTTTTTTTTGGCAAGGGTAAACTAGTATTAGATAAAGCAAAGAAATACTTCGTACAACAAAATTCAAACAACTAAGACCCTTTTTTTTATTTTTTTATTTATTTATTTAAAAGTAGCAAGATAAATCATTAATTCATTAGATATGACTAAAAAAATGTTTTTTTTTTTTAAAAAAAGAAAAAACTTGGATCACACCACTTTTTATATACACTCGAGTGCATATAAAAATAAATCTACCCAAGATAATTTGTTATTAAATGAGCAGAAAATACCGTTGAATGCATCTTACATCCGGTTATATACTTCCTCCGTTTTTTATTAGATGCATCCTATACTCCAAGTTATTAGCAATAATACTTTGGCTCTCTATTTACACAAGATTATTTTATTTTATTTATTTATTTTTTAACCTAAACCCCTAAACATATGTCTAAATCAACATCAAGTAAATATTGAAGTACGTTGTTGATAATAATATTTTTGGCATCCAACATAATACGGAGTACACTTTTATTATGATACGATATCATGAGATAATATCATATGAGATATTTATTGTAATACTAGGAATCTAATATTAAGAGATATACTTTTTGGTGCTGTCAACTCAGTAAAAATAACGGAGTCTGACGGGTATAATAGAGTCTGACACTCACCCGCAATTTCAAGTAACCCCTTATTTCAAGTAACTCCTAATTTCAGGTAACCCTTAATTTAAGTAACCCCTAATTTTAAGTAGTAACCCCTAGTTTCAAGTAACCTTTAATTTCAAGTAATCTATTTTATAACATACCCAAAACATAAGACAAAAACAAGTAACCCATATTATAAGTAACCCCTGATTTCAAGTAACCCATATTATAAATTTTCCCTAATTTCAAGTAACCAATACTATCAGTAATCCCTCAACAGTTAACCCATATCATATCATCACTAATAAATAAAGCCGGACTCATATCATATCATCACTAATAAATAAAGACGGTCTCGCAGCCAGGCCACGAGACAACGACACTTGACATTTCAACTTTTCGCCAATTGTCGCGCCATATAGGCGACAAATAGGTATTGTTGTGACACATGTGATGCTAAGTAAGCGATTTTTGGATAGATTTTTTAAAATAAAATTTTGTTTAGAGTTTTATTATCACTATACTTCTAATATTTTATATATACAAAATTAATCATAACTTTTAATAAATATCCTATAACTCGGTTTTATTTCCATCATAAAATTCATTTCAAAAAGTTCTTTAAAATAAGATCCATTTTAAAGAACCATTTATAATATATTTAATTTCAGTAAAAACAATAATAGAGAATCAACAAAAATAAGTTTTAACCTATAAAAATATTTTTGGTTTGGTAAAAATATTTTCAGTTCAGTAAAAATAATTTAAGGTCAACAACAATAATTCAAGTCAATTATAACATCAGCAACTAACTGTTTGGTGCAACAGGCCATACCATGTGACAGGGGTTACCCGAGTTATTTTATTAGGGGTTACTTGAGGGGTTCATACAGGGGTTACTTGAGGGGTTCAGACAGGGGTTACTCGAGGGGTTCTCTTGGTCAAGGGTTACTTGAGGGGTTACTTGGTCAGGGGTTACTTGAGGGTTCAGTTAGGGGTTACTTGAGGGGTTACTTAGTCAGGGTTTACTTGAGGGGTTACTCGGTCAGGGGTTACTCGAGGGGTTTGGTCATAGATTACTTAAAGGGTTACTC